GCTGATGATTCAGATCACGATAACGACAGCTGTTTTTGGCATTTTTGCAAAGAACAAAGAGCTGCGCGCAAAAAGGAACAAGCAACCACTAGGACTGGGAGAGCACTACCACTGCTAAGTCGACCCTGATTGAGCCCTGACCCGCCGAGCTGGTGACCCATTTTGACTCAGCTCACATACCGCCTTTTCTCAACTCTCTACCTACTAAACAGTTCACGTGACGGTCTTGGGGTTCACACAGTAATCAGTTTCCAAACGATTCATTCAGGTAGTTCCACCCTTCAAAGTTCCATCGGAATTCCAAGCTTTCCTTGATTACCTGGTTAGGCGAAATAATCATGAGTGCTTTATATCACGTTACAGTTATAAGTCTTGGTATTAAGTTACAAATGAGCTCAAAAAAGTTAGTTCCTCGACAACGGAAGCACCAGCTTTTCGAGCATCTGTCAAGCATTTTTCCACTCGGTGTTTCTCGGTAACAATGGATGAGAAAAACAGAGACCGGTAGAGTGCATTAATGGCATTCCTGTTTATACTTTGGTCAGCATCATTACAAGCATAGGATTTTATCATATGCTCGCATTGGTGAGGGGTGATAGTGGATGTTTGAACGACACATTTCTCCATCACAAAATGTACTTACTTTCTCTACAATGTAATCGGAGGCAGAACGTGGACCAACAGGAAGAAAAGAAAACCGTATGTATGCGTGAAAGCTTTGAGAAAGAGGGTCTCTCTTTTGGGTCTAGGATCCTTGACGAAAAATGAGAGAACGCCGCGTCAAGTTTGCAAAGGAAAAAGCATAGGAAACCAGACACATGGACCGTTGCTTTGCCCGAAAACGGCCGCAGTTGTTGATCACGATACAACAAGGCTCTTGCGTCCTTGGCAAGCACTACCAAAACAAGAGGACTACCATATTACTTCATCGTGGACAACTCTGCTCACAGAAAAGGATTGATCTACCCAGGTTGACCGTGTAATAAGCTTTCGAAAGAAGGTAATTTTTGCGGACCGTGTGCTGCACCATGTGAAGCACGCCGCGTCATGGTTATTTTTGTTGATGTTTGATCAGAGTTGCAAGTCTTCAGTAGCCCTTTTTCGAGTGCAGAAAACGTCATATTTACGTACTGATTAGCTACAGGGGGAAAAACACATTTGCCCATGTCGCACTTCGGCCTTTTTTTTTCTTCGCAGAGATTGCCGTCGTTGACGGAAGTTCCTCAGCAAAATATTCCCTAAATGTCCCTCTATAAGTACACGCAGGCCCTCCTTCACTGCCCTCACCGTCTTCAGAATATGACGTCATCTGTCACCGTCGTCGAGCTCAGGGAGGCCTACAGTAACTGCTTCAGCCTGAAGCTCTTACATAATTTCTTGGATCGATTCAACGTGGGATAGTTTCCTAGGGACATTAGCTCTAACTATGCAAACCCCCTCGGAACCCGCCCTTCGGAACCCGTCGTAACGGTACACGATCAGTCGAGAACCCCATTGAGCTCGACCAGAGCACCATGTTTCCGGGGCAAACTTTTCTGATGCCGTCCACGTAGATGGCCACTATGAAGATTTTCTTATGAAATGAAATGCGCTCTTCAATTCTAAGTTGGGAGCACACGCTTTGAGCTGAGAGCAAAGTGTGATTAAATCCATTTGAGTCTGGAGACAAAATGTCTTTTTTTGCCCCCCCCCCCCGTTGTATTGTTGATAAAGCGGACGGCAAAAATCTGCGGAGATGCTCGCATCACGGCGGTCGACAGTGCGTTCAAAGAACTTTTATTTTGACCGATTCCTGCTGGAGTTTACAGCTTGCCTATTATGCAAGTTCATTAGT